CCCATTTGCCTCGGGAACACACGATCAACGGCCGACGATCGATATACCTAGGTAGAGACATTCACGTCTTGGCGATGTAAATCTGTCTCCGCATTTAGGGCGGATATATGTGTTATCAATGTAGAGGTCCGAGAAATATTGTGATAAAAATAATCTATATTTATTTAAATAGCTCCCTAAATGTGTTTGATATGTTATTGATGTTGCTGCCTTGATCGTCGCGAAATGAATATTTTTCATACAATCTTTATATCCAAAATCAAAGACTTATTTATAAAATTTTTTTAAGAATCGCTTTTTCTCACGAGGATCCTTATTTAACTCAAACTTCAATTTTGCGGCGAAACTTTGAACATTTCTTCATAACAATTAATAATCATTAATCAGCTTACTTTATATTCTCAACAGTTTACGTAACGAGTATATAATTATAAAACAGTCGGTTACATAACAACTCGTGTTGACAATGTATCTATTTATTTTCTAATAGGAATTATTTGCATTTACTCGATGATAAATTCTTTATGAGAGAAAAATTATAATTGCTTATGTCATTCCGGAGAGGAAATCGATTTTTCTTCGAATTCACATTGTCGATTCGAGGAACATTGAATTTTTCGATCTACTTCATGAAAACATATATGCGTCATGTAAATTGATAAAGGTTCTGGAAATAACACATCATCTTTCTACGTCACTTTAGCGTGACGAAATTCTACGACATTTTACGTATATATCGGACGATATCGGACAAGGGAAACTTCGCGAAAATATAATCGCAATTGCCGTAATCGTCTTTTCCAATGCAACGTATGAAGAAGAAAGCTTTGCTGCGTAAAACATTTATTTATTCTTACAAAGAATTATGGAAACTGGCTGACATTCACAATTTGAAGAATTATTTATCGGAGTAGACATATATTTTAAAGAAAGAATTTAATTCTCGATTATAGAATGACAAGTTTGAAAAGTTTTGTCATCATATAAAAATTTGAACAATGATCTGAATTAAAAATTGAAACGCTTGTATAGAATTCAGACATATCATAAATCTTTCAAGACTTTGATCAAGATGAGAGATCTGATTTAAAATTATTACTCTTAATAGAAGACATCCGGTTTTAATTCATTGCGCGCGGGATCAGTTATCGTAAAGTGATTTCTCGAAACAGCAACGGCGACAGGATGTATTAAATTGAACCCGTTACCCGTTACTTGCCCCGTTACTCTTTTTACTTTTCTCTATTTCAAATGTCTCTTCGTCCTCGATTCTTGACTCTCCCGCTCGTGCCCGGGTACCGTGTGTGTCATGACTGAGACTATATAAATAAGATGATTTTGTACAATTAACTTAGACATAAAACATTCATATAAAATATAACATGAACGAAATATTTGAATTAATGTATTAATTTAGTTTATATATATTATTTATTTTAAAATTATCAGAATCAATCAATTAATTCAGCTACACAAATTTCTCATATCAAGTGTCAAATCATCGAATTTATTAATATTCGATTTTTTTGCCAATCGTTAATCTAATCGTATAGTTTCTCATCATTACGTAAAAACTTGTGGAATTTTATTATCACGACGATATAATAAGAATGGAATTGACATTATTGTGATAGGTCCACTTACTACGATGTGTAAAAGATATGTCACGCTTGTATTTACAAATAAATTCGACTTGACGCAAACGAGGTGTCGTTCGTACACTATCACGTTATTGTGGTTTATCGTTCTTTTGCCAGCCAGCTTCTTGATAAAAAAGCTTGTTGTTTTCAATGTGTTTTTTTTAACAGATCAAGGATGGCATAACATTTTGATGTTGATTTCAATATACGTAATATTAAGAATCTAAATATAAGAGAGAGAAAAAGAAAACAAAAAATCAATTGCACTATATATCTACTTCAGTTACTTTGCAACAACAATATAAAAAAATTCATTACGAAACAGGTTACAAAGAATGATATTTCTTAAAAAACATACATCTTACAATATTATATAATATTAATTATTGACACAATAATTCTATAATTTGCCAATCGTTAATCTAATCGTATAGTTTCTCATCATTACGTAAAAACTTGTGGAATTTTATTATCACGACGATATAATAAGAATGGAATTGACATTATTGTGATAGGTCCACTTACTACGATGTGTAAAAGATATGTCACGCTTGTATTTACAAATAAATTCGACTTGACGCAAACGAGGTGTCGTTCGTACACTATCACGTTATTGTGGTTTATCGTTCTTTTGCCAGCCAGCTTCTTGATAAAAAAGCTTGTTGTTTTCAATGTGTTTTTTTTAACAGATCAAGGATGGCATAACATTTTGATGTTGATTTCAATATACGTAATATTAAGAAACTAAATATAAGAGAGAGAAAAAGAAAACAAAAAATCAATTGCACTATATATCTACTTCAGTTACTTTGCAACAACAATATATAAAAAAATTCATTACGAAACAAGTTACAAAGAATGATATATTTCTTAAAAAACATACATCTTACAATATTATATAATATTAATTATTGACACAATAATTCTATAACATTGGAATATATTGATATATAATTATTGGCACAGTAATAATAAAAAATATTTTATCGTATGCATCCATTTACGTTTGATACATTTGAGATGAAGAAATGTCAAAGTGGCGTACTCTGATGGTAATAATGTGTATTACATATATGGTTTTCCATCTAGTGTAATGTATATTTACAGACTTTAACTTGACCGTTTGATTGTTCGCTGCATTTTCCAATTTCAATAAATTCAGATAAACTGATTATTCTAAACTTGATATCAGTTTATTATTTTTATATTTTTTTCTTATTTTTGAATTATACATAATATTATCAAATCAAGCTACAAAATTATATATCAATTGCTAGAGATTTTTACTAGTGACAATTGCACGATAGTGACAATTCATGAAGAGATATCAGATTGGTCATCGAAACCGACCGGAAAGTATGGCTATCGGATTGGCCGTCGTCGCAACACCGCTTTCTCATTCGATGGAAGTAAATCGTACGATCGAAGAACCTTCTTTTATATTACATAATATTTTCACGGAATATCCGGCGAAAAGGCTTCAAAAGGCCCCCAAAATCAACGTCGCGTTAAAAAAAAAAAAGAACGCAGATCGCGATCGCGTGAGATCGATTTCCGGCGGATTTCCAGGAGCGCAGAATATGGCGTTGAGATCGATTTGCCGGCTGTCAATTGATTCGACCTTCAGGCAGTTGAGCCATTTCGGAGCCACCGCCCGCCCGAGACGACTGTCCTTCGACACGCTCCTACGAAACTTCGCCGCAGCAGCTAAGAACATGGCACTGCCACGCGTTTACTTCGACATGACCGCGGACGACAAGCCCGTGGGTCGCATCGTGATGGAGGTGAGCTGAAAAACCGCGCGATCGCACACATTGACCGACATCATCCGACCGCGCACCTTCGCGAATCCCGACCATGCCTGGCCATCTTGATTTTTCCGCCGTGCCGGTTCGCGCGATTTTATTAAGGATTTCGTCTCCGGCGACTCGATCGTTGTCGTTCGACAAAGGTTCGAAACGAGCAACGAACACGACCGGCATTTGTCATCGCGATCTCGCGAAATTACGACGAGCAGCGAGCAGTTGACTGCGCGTTATTAGCGATGCGTCATTATTGCATGAATGTGCAAGCACACGATCGGCCGTTGTAAAATTTTCCATTCACGGCAGGAGGAACCGTCAGAATAACGTGTGCATCCGTAATCTGCTCCTGTAGACGCTACAACTTTTCAATAGTCGTCGCACAGGGAAACGAATTATTTCATTTAAATGGAAATTTGCTTTAAACGGAAAAATTAGCAAATTATTCATTCGGTTGTGGACACGAGTATGTGAAAAAAATAACATTGCTTATACGCGAAAATTATTACGTCTCTGATAATTTTAACGATATGAGCCGATAAGATGAAGTGCGCTTATCTATTATCTTTTGTTAAAAATTATAATAAATCAACGAATATCTATATTTTATATAAATTCTTATTAAAAAAGAATAAATCTCTGTATATCAAGCAACAAATTCTATCAAATAAAAATCTTGTAGATTGATTAGGATAATTGATCAGCGACATTTTGCACTTTGTATAAGATATGTAAATTTATCTAATTTTATTTTGTATCGCACAATACAAATGCATTAGATAGAAGCATATGAACATAGTTTAAAGTTTTAAACACAGATGGCGTGAGTAAGAAAATATATAATAGCATCGTCTTTGTGTATTCTCCAAAAATTCAAATTTCTCTCTTTTTTTTTTTTTTTTATTGGTTCCTTTTTTTTTCAAAGGTAATTTTTTTTTAACGATTTTTAGGCACAATACAAATGCATTAGATAGAAGCATATGAACATAGTTTAAAGTTTTAAACACAGATGGCGTGAGTAAGAAAATATATAATAGCATCGTCTTTGTGTATTCTCCAAAAATTCAAATTTCTCTCTTTTTTTTTTTTAATGGTTCCCTCTTTTTTCAAAGGTTAATATTTTTTAACGAATTTTAGGCAAATTAAAAACTAATTTTTTCTTGCTGCTTTATTTTTTACTATTGTTAATATGCAAAAAATAAATGAATAAAGGTTTTAATTATAGCAAATTTAATTATAAATTGGAATTTTTCAGTTGAGGAAGGATGTTGTCCCTAAGACGGCAGAGAACTTCCGTGCTCTCTGCACCGGAGAGAAGGGTTTTGGCTACAAGGGTAGCAGTTTCCACAGGGTAATCCCGAATTTCATGTGCCAGGGTGGCGATTTCACTAACCACAATGGCACTGGTGGTAAATCCATTTATGGTGCCAGATTCGACGATGAGAACTTTAAGCTCACTCATAGCGAGCCTGGTATACTTTCTATGGCGAATGCTGGGCCCAGCACCAATGGCAGTCAGTTCTTCATCACCAGTGCCAAGACCAGTTGGCTTGATGGAAAACACGTTGTGTTCGGAAAAGTTATCGAAGGAATGGATGTTGTTAGAAAAGTATGATTTTATGTAATATTTCTAGTCATATGGCATGTTTTTGACAAAAGATTACATGTTCTTCTAAAAAGTGCTTTTTACCATAGAAAATTACAATAATTGAGCAATTATTGCAAAATGAACAATAATTTTGTTTCAGTTGGAGGCCATGGGTTCTCAGAGCGGCAAGACTTCCAAAAAGATCATAGTAGTGGACTGTGGAGAATATTAGATCAACTAGATACTGTAATGAATGCATTTTTATTTAGCTGTTGCATATATATTTACTGTCTTTATTGCCCTACTTTATCCATTCTCAAGGATCACAATTCTCTCATCGATACTAATAATTTTTTTGATTGAACACGGATTGAAAGCTTCAATGTAGAAACGAACGAAATTGCTTGAATTGTAATTTTTTTTTTTTTTTTTAATTTAGATAAGCTTATTTTAGTTTCTAGATGATAGAAAATTCTTTGCTGTCTTTTTTTAAGAGAATCTATCAATTCCGAGTACTATCCAGTGCTTTATTATACAGTTAATACAACCTGTGTGTTTTTTTTTAAATCTTATTCAGTAATTTTTGCGAAATCCATATTCTTCCACGAGTACACTCGCTTAATATCACTGAGTGATTTAGCAAAAAGGCACACAAGCAATGAGCTCAAATGTTTCCATACCATCTTATATTTTAGTGAGTGTTAAGAATACGAAGATCTTCAATAATAGAATAGATATTTCAAATTTTGAAATGAATAATTGATGTATTGATTCCAGTGTGTTAACCAATGCATTTCTCTTCAGCGTTATACATTTGACTTTGCATCATATATAATATATATAGATATATCACAATTAGAATTCTCATTATATGTTTTTTATAAATGTATATCATTTCTTAATCGTGCGCGCGCGAATTATAAAATGGATAATCCTGTTTGTTTATCGTAATGCAGGCAATGCCTGAAAAAAAAATATCTTACTGTAATACAACACCAACAAATTAAAAAATGTAGTTGCAACAGTCTGAATAGTTCCGATTTCTTAAAAATAAAATTGTTTTCAGAAAGAAGAAAACTGGTTTACACATTATTTGCATAATAATCCTGTAAAGGCCATCGGATGAACTAAATCTACATAAAATCTTTTTACCTCTCGATATAACGATTTTCTTGTAGAAAACATGAAATAAGCACCATACTAAAGCGCATTTAATTTTATCTGCTCTATTATACTTTTCTTACATATTACAATACTTATAGTACTGTATTCAGATTAAAATCAATTTACAAATAATTTCACATTTTTTGCAACATTTATAATCAACGTATATTTCATTTTTTTTTCATATTTGTTTTACCAATCTGCGAGAACATTGATAGAACATATAGTACCAATATTATTTACAATCTTGCATTACATTAGGACAGTTTCGAAATAATCTAATTTACATATGGGATGCACTAACCGAAAAAATACGCAGACGGATTTTATTTTTTTAGACAATCTTTACACACAACGCCGATAAAAATTATAACAAGAATAATTATCAACTGATAACACATAATTTTTTTTTTCATTGTACTTTTCCCTTTCGTATTCATGTCTTATATTTAAAATTGATGAAAACTTGATCGTAATGAATAAAGAATCAATATTTTCTATCTTATTGAATTGAGTCATAAATAACTTTTTCCTAATGTAGATAAAGCATATACTAACAAGTACAATACTTTCTGAATATCCTAATTGAGATTCAATCTCGTTAATAATTAAATTAAGAAATTAGAGATTATGGAAATGAAAGTATTCAAAAAGAAAATTTGTTACCCGCATCACAAATCATGCGTTTGCGTTATTCAATCTATTAAGATAAATGACACATTGTAATTCGTTCATTCATTTGCTTTGTATTTGTACTGCCTTTTTTGTTTCGCGTTAATTTTTACACTCTCTTCTTTATCAGATAAATTGTATGTAGTATAAAGAAAAATTACAAATTTTTTTTTTTTTTTAGGTATTGTACTTTTCCCTTTCGTATTCATGTCTTATATTTAAAATTGATGAAAACTTGATCGTAATGAATAAAGAATCAATATTTTCTATCTTATTGAATTGAGTCATAAATAACTTTTTCCTAATGTAGATAAAGCATATACTAACAAGTACAATACTTTCTGAATATCCTAATTGAGATTCAATCTCGTTAATAATTAAATTAAGAAATTAGAGATTATGGAAATGAAAGTATTCAAAAAGAAAATTTGTTACCCGCATCACAAATCATGCGTTTGCGTTATTCAATCTATTAAGATAAATGACACATTGTAATTCGTTCATTCATTTGCTTTGTATTTGTACTGCCTTTTTTGTTTCGCGTTAATTTTTACACTCTCTTCTTTATCAGATAAATTGTATGTAGTATAAAAAAAAATTACAAATTTTTTTTTTTTTTTTAGGTTTATATAGATCTTGATTATCTCAATCAAATTCTTACATATTTTCACACTCTACTCTCATATATCATATATTTTTAAAAAATAAATAACGTTTTTATATAGATTAAGATAATCACATTATGTAATCAATTGCGTATAGATTTCAAAACTCTCAACGACGATTATTATTTTTGGAACGATTTTTAATATTGATTTATCAAAGAGACGTGTAGATAAGTACGTGTATAGATAGGTGTGTAAGTAACGCATAATCTATAAGTTACACACCAGTTTTGTTTAAATGTATGATATAGTCGTAAATTTCCAATTTAAATTCCTTCGATTGCAGTTATCTATAAATGACGACACATAAAATTCACATTTATTATGTTTTGAAGCTATTCATTTAATACAAATCGAAGAAGCTGTTTTAACTGCTGGGAGAAATTTCCCTTATTAAAGCAGCGTAAAAGATACAGATCACACATCTATTGTCAGTCTAATTATATTCTAATCACACCGTAGCGGGGCGAGGCAAGATCAATTAAGAGGCTGTTTAAAAAAAATTCAATATAAGAAATACTAAACTTAAGTAACGAAAAATTCTATCTAGTATATTATTTACTTATTTAACTATTGTCAGATGTCGTTCAAGAAACAAAAATTAAAAAATATCTTAACGTCTTAACTAAAACATAATTATGTGGAAAGAAATTTGAACATATAAAGAAATTATATAATGCATAAAATAATGTATCTTCTATATTTGTTCCAAGTTTTCTGAGAAAGTTAAAGAAATAAAATTATCAAGAATAAGAATTGTACGGTCGAAAAGTTGTCACAGAAAATAAGTTTGCGAGACATTACGCGGTATTTATTGGCTCTACGTTTCATTTATGGCTTTGCCATATTTAATTTGTTTGCATATTCGCAATTGTATATATCCTACTTTTGAGACACAAAATTCTCGAGGCTGCGACATGAATATTTTTTTCTCTTTTTATATTTGACATACAACTCCATGTATAACGTTCTTGCATGTCATTATTAAACGTACGTGGCAATTTTTATACACATATCTTTATATAAGTACCGTGTACATATATCTCTACATCAGTGGCGCTTCGTACTATGATTGAAAATCGTGATGATATCGACGAATAAAAAAGCGCCGATCAGAAAAAGCAGGAAAACATAAAAATTCGCGCAATGAAGCAGGGAGAAGGATGGTAGAAAGTGCCAACTTATTACGGCCATCATGCCGTAAGTTTGCATTTTGCATAACTTATCGGACCAGCCGCCACTCTCTATGTGTTTGCCTTTCTTTAAGAATATATTATATATATTATACATATATATGTTATAATTAACATGCTCTCTCTTTCTCTTTCTCTCCCTTTGACCCGCAAAGGATAGATTAATGTTTTTATGATTAATCATATTATATTCGTTAATATACTTACGAAATGCACTTACATGGCACAGAATATATTTTTGTTATGTCGTAATCTTATCTTTTAGGATATTTTTTACGCCAATGTAATATTATGCAATCGCGACAACTTAAAATGATACATGGCTAAAAATAATTATTCCATATGAAAATAGTTCTCTAAACAATCTCTCTTCGATTCGCACTCTATTAATAAAAATTATAGAGCGTTGTGTGCGTGTGCGTTTATTCAGGATAGACAAGAACAGATTTATCGTCGCGTTTTCTATTTCCTGTCTCGCGGTAATTATATATGTAATTATTTGCGGATAAGTATAACTAGGATATATAAACGGAGAATAAGAGCTAAAATAGTCCGTATATATCGAACTCAATGTTCACATATCGCGTCACCAAAAATAATTAGCAAAGGCCTTTAACTTCGTAAATTACCTATTTAACGGTACAATCTCTGCAAAAATTAAAATTGCAATATCTCTATTAATTAAATATTAATTTTTCAAATAAAATCTTATAAACGTATAAAAACCTCACGTCGAAAGACCGAAAATACTCTTCACGAATCTGATAACATCTTTTAGAAGTTTATCGTTTTCAAGTTTTAAAAAATTTGGATAAGAAAAAGCTTTTTAAAGCTGCTTTATAAAGGATAAATATGCGAGGGTGTTAACGTTCTTTTCTTGTGAGGAAATGCGTAAGAAAAAAACAGATAGAAACGATTACATCCTCGATGAAATATGTTTTCTTTCGCGATTTTCATCTCTCTCTCTCTCTCTCTCTCTCTCTCTCTCTCTCTCTTTCTCTTCCCATTCCTCTCTCGCGCTCGATTTTTCTCTTTCCCGAACCCTTCTCAACTCAAGGAGGCAAACAGGAGAAGAGCCGTACCAACAAATCACTTCGTATTTACACGAGGATTTACACGTTAGTTCGGAAAATAGAACTCATTCGGCAAAAAAAAAAAGAAGATAAATAATGGCAGTGCAACAAATATCTCATGCTGTCAATCCGGTGTATCTTGATGTATGTAACGGAACGAAACAAATGATATAATTGCGAAGAAACGGTCCGACGATGGTGCACTACTTGACGAAGAGATCCTTGAGAGTAGTACAGATCGAATCGCAGTCCGTTTGCTCCTGCTCCTTGTTTCCACTCGAGAACCAGCTGGTGACCTTGCCGGCGCGCGACTTGTTCGGTGACACGGATGGTTTTCCAGATGAGCTGCCCGACATTTCCGCATCGTTTCCCCTGTGGGTCGAGGTAAGAATCTTCTCGATCGCATTGCCGAGCACCTGTCGATAGAAAAGAGAAGTTACGCCGTTGCATCGTGCGAGAGAACTTTGGTTCCTTTAACGTGATATATTTTTCCCTTGCGGGATGCAAATATACATATATGCCAGACAAAATAGAACTTTATTTCAAACCGATAACTTTAACTATAATTCTCTTTAGATGCTTATAAATGCCTAATGAAGAAAGATATACACAATGTTGATTAATATATTTTTAACTCTAGCCTTCCCTTTTGAATAAACGGAACGTAATTACATTTCATTTACCTGAGCGTCCACTTTGGTACCGCTGCTGTCGTCCCAGAGAACCTTATGTTTGGGGTCCACGTTCTTCACCAATGTATCCTTGACGGTTTTAACTATCTTCAACTTGTCGAGCTTGAACGTCATCGCGCTCTCTTCGTCCAGGTACCGATTCTTTTTCGACATAGGTTGATGACGCTTGGCAAACCAGTTGCTCGGTGCGATGAGCGAGCCGACGGCGCCTTTGCTGCTGCTGCTCGACGTTTTGCTCTTGGTGCTATGCAGGATAGACACGTCGAAGCTGTTGGATCGTGAGCTCTTGAGTCGACTGCGTCTCTGCTCCGCCGTTTTCGTAGACCAGCTCGATCTTTGTTCATCCTTCGCGTCTGACGTGCCGCATGTATTTATCTCCGACGCGGACGACGTCAGGGAACTCAGGATGGATATCAGGTCCGTGTTGGAGCATGTGATGCCCGCCGCTGTTGTCGAACAGGGTACCTCGAGTTCACAAATCGGCCTCGTCATCTCAGACGCGCGTCTACGTAGCGCCAACGTCGACGCCGCGACTGACGCCGAGAAATCGGAGAATCGGCGTTTCTGATGCTGTATGTATTTCTGCGTGGTAGAACTGCCATCGCCCTCCAGAGGCTGAATCTCGCATACTCGCTCGCGAGACGATGTCTTGTACATTTTTAAACGAACCTGAGAGACAAGCATACCAGCATTAAAATATTCCTCGTTAACGCAAAACATTAGAGATCAAACGATATGTATATAAAATTAACATCAAAGATATATCGAATATGTATTATCAGCGATTTATTTTTAATGCAGAAAATTTACACAACATAAACATAAATAATTTAACTAAACAATTTTAATAATTTTATTTTTGTCAAAAATTCTTTAATCAGAAAAAGTATCAGTTATACAATGTTATTTATCTCACAATTTTTATTCTCGAAACTTATGCTTTATAATGTTATTTTCACAAAAGCTCTTTAATTTTAAAATCTAAATTTTTAAACCTGAACTTTCAAAGAAGGTTTTAAGGTTGAAATTGGATCTGTAATAGGACATGCGATTCAATATATGTTCAATTTTAAAGTCATAGAGCATGAAAAAAATGAGGGTGAACAATCTAATAAATCTTTAGCCAACAGTCCAATGAATCTGAATAATAATTAACACAAAGCTTGATCTTATCCCTCATTCCGGCTAAATCAATGGAAAAATACACAGTGAGAGAGATAATAAAGATTTACGTATCGTTTGATATATACATGTACAATGTCTCTTATTTTAGCTTTACTTTATCTATATTATTCACTCATAACGTTTAATGCGTTTATAATGCGTTACTAACTGTAAGTATTACCTTTTTGGCCTTGATCTCGGCGATGTCGTCCATAATGTCGAGCTGCAGATTGTGAGTGCTACCACTATTACTGGGCGGGCCGCTTATCCCGGTGGACGAGTCCCGCCGGCCTTGCAATATCCTGGTGGCACCCATGGGAAATGCGGCGACAGATTCCCGTCGGTTGCGACCAAACAGGGTTGTCGGTACCCTGGAAATCGTGACGACAGAATGTCGTCGTCCACCCGACTGCGGTGTCGGCGTCTGCGAGAGTGTCGCCAGGAAGGCAGCCTCCCTCGCTGATGGACCGGATCCTTCTCCACCGCGTTCGCTCAATCGTCGTACCTGTTCACGCGTAAATTTACGGATGACGTAACTTTAACTGCGACATTCAATATGCGTTTATCTTATTACTGTGAAAGAGGAATGAGACATGATCAAACAGCCTCAGAAAATTCGCTAAAAATATTTCAATTACAACGTGTTGGGTTTGATGTATCCTTAACGTGATTATCTTTAAACCTCGGACTTTTTGCCAAAGATTTTTTAAAACTCGGTTATGCGAATTAAAATGACAATATTTTATTGATATATTTTATTTATTAATTTTATTAATTTTAAAATAAGATATATAAAATTATGATAAAATCCAAGAAACAGCATAATATTATAGATGACTCCTGATAGCTTTTACATATATATATTCTCTATACATATTCTCCAATGTCATTTGAATACCGAGAAGATATCGAGAACAACGATCACTTTACCGCGATTATTCTGACAATAAGCTGCAGATAAGTTTATTCTAAGTTTCTCGCGTACGTGTTACAGCATCATAAATATTGCCATATTTGCGTATCGATATCGCCTTAACCACGAAAGACTTCCTATGCATGCGCATACATATATACCTGGGATGCGGTTATCCCGGATGTACACTGCGGAGTTGGTAAAGAATGCTTCCTGGCGTCCCTCCATGGCGAGAGCAAATAGGGATTCAAGGATGGGGAATCCGGATCGAATCGCGGCGGCGATTCCCTGCGACAGTGATCCGCTTCCTCCTCGCCGAGCGTGCTTTCCTCGACGACAATCAGCGGTTCGGCACCGCCACTTCCGTTGCTCGTACTCGGACAGAACGACTGCCTTCTCATACTGATATTCTGCAAATATTATTTGTTTCCCAAATTTTCTTTATTTTTATCTCTCATTGCTTAGATCAACTAATCTTCGCACAACCAATCGTATAAATATTCCAGAATTGTCCTAGAATTCTTTTTTATGTTAAAAAAAAAAAAAATACTTTCAAAAGTGAAAAATTTTTTCATTTTTTTAGACTTTTATATAGATATTTTAGAAACTAAATCTTTTAGTCCTCCGACCTTTAACAACCCTCCTTAAAAGTCAGAGGTAAAATAATATGAAAATTGTTCTTTTTTTTATTCCAAATATTTTCTTTTTTTGATTAGACATTTTATATTTAACGGTATCTATGTATATCACAACGATATTAATGGGGAATCAGCAGATTCTCGTTACATATATATCATTTAATATTCCGAACGGATCCAGCGAGCTTTCTCGTGTGTATACGATATCGAGATTCGAGAGATTCCAAGCAGAATTTTTTAATTTTCACGACGACGAAATAGCATTCGATAAATGCATGTCTTTGGCGTGGAAAATATGGATAAAGCATTGCACGTAATATATCGTCTTATACGGCTCCTGTAATTCAGGACACGTGCGAGCATTTCGATTTGATATCCGAGATATCCCCGTCCTCGTAAGTACCATAACGCGTTCGCGTAATGGAAGAGAGGGAGGGTAATTTTACCGTTAAATTTCCATAAATATATTTGCGTAGGATGTAACAGCCCACAGAGCTGCAACATCCTGAAGTACGATCAAAGAAAAAAAAAAAAAATATTGTCGAGAATGACACACTACACGTCATATTGCGTCGCTACGCAAATATTAGCGTTTGCAGAAGTCATATTTTCGTTCAATATCTGGGTCAGTTGTTATGATCTAATGAAATTTGCGATCTCCCGCAACTACGCGTTGCAACACGTGTGCATTATTTTCTGCCATTGACTGTTTATTCACAGCTTAACCAATACCGTGATATTTTTCACAAACGAATTATTAACTTTACAGAGATTCTTGTAATATGCGAATAGAGAGATCGCGTTATTAGCACGCAAAAAAATAAAACAATAAAAGTTACTAAATATGAAAAGCAGTCGCAATATGAAAAGCGTTATTATGCTGATTAACTTTACAATTTCATCCTGATAAATAATCTTTTGTGGTCGTGACACATATACGAAATATTCGAATTATTTAATATCGGTATATTACAGCTTTCTATTACGAAAGATTAAATCTGTGCTAGGTATAATCAAAAATATTGAAAAAGGAAATCTCTTATTAATTTTTAAAAATATGCATATATTGAAATATAAAGTTCTTTTTATTCGTTAGTTCTCAAATTATACCGGCACGTCGAAGATATAAAAGATAGGACAAAATCCAAGAAGTTTTACGGTATCTTTTACTTTGGAATATCAGAATTTTTCAATGAATACCTGTCAATTCTTTTTAATTCATTTATTTCTCGCAAGCTATAGTCACGTCGACATTTTCGATCGAACAGAAAAGCCGCATTCGATCGACCAGCTTTATCGCCTCTCCCTTTCTCTCGCAGTTGTCCCGGTAACGGTGATAATACCGGAAATTAATATTCGAATACGTAGGTCAGTCGGCTGGCTGGAAATAGCAAACGCGAAGCCACGAGAATTCCGGTGGCGGGATACTAAAAGAGGAAAGTCGCTGCGACAGAGGATGTTCTCGTTGGCAGCGATGAGATATAAAGAACTCGCGCTCCACATCCTTAAGGATATCGTTGTTTGAGACGTATTCGAGTGCACACGAAAACTCGTTCTGCGATTATGAAGTTGCTCGCTATTTTCGCCATCTTCGCTGTACTGGCTTACGTTTCAGCAGACACGCTATCGGCTGTTTATGACGGACCTACTTACGAATTAAGTAAGTACATTTTACCGAGAAATATGACGGAAAATTTTCTCGCATCTCAAACGAAAATTCTCTCGATAATTGAACAATTTTATTAAGCTGTAATTAATTTCAAGCTATTTTTGCTTTTCATCGGAGATATCAAATTTCTGAAAGACAGAGAGAGATCCAGATATTTCATTAGTATTAAAAAATATTATGTGGTAATAATTAAAAAATTATAATGCAAATATTGAAGTTTGTTAGTTATTATAGCTTTCTTTCGAGTAAAATGGTGCGGTTTTGAAACATAACACAGAAAAACTTTTCAACTTTGACTAATAAATATTCAAAATGCACTACCTTTTATCTCACGCTATATAATAATTGTATTATACACACAACACACACAAACACACACTCTCTCTCTTCCTCTCTTTCTCCGATGTACCCTTTTAGAATATACTGATAATATATTGTCGATATCCTTTCATATCGAATGCGACGCGACCCTTTCCTCTGATAAATCATTCGATTACGAGTTACTGCATCATTTCCGAATACTGAATTGGAAATAATCTTTATTTTATTCTCTACAATGTTATTCAAATATTTAAATTAATTTCATGTAATTAAAGCATCTAATAAAAATGAAAATCTCGTTAAGGACCTCAAAACTTAATTCGTAAAAATTGTATAATTCCCAATATAAAATAATTCGCGAAAATAAGTCTTTTCAAATTTCTTTAAATTTCTCGCTTCTCCCCTATTTTAAACGAAGAAGGTAGCGCACCTGCTACAAAATTCCTTTTCGTCCGCCCGGTAAATACGATTCCGCATCGTAACATGTATCGTATCGAATATATATTCTACATTGATGTTAAAATTCAATATACTTTGTAAAACGCGGAATTTTCTCCTCTTCGCCACACGAGAGAAAATAATGGAAAAATCGCTCGAATTTTTTCAGCTACCATCAACGACCCGGAGTACGACGAGATGGCATCGAATCTGTCGCCTATCCGACATCGGCGCATAACCTGCGACCTTTTATCCTGGCAGTCCAAGTGGTTAACCATCAACCACAGTGCGTGCGCGGCCAAATGTTTGGCTCAACGGCGCCAGGGTGGCCGCTGCCGTGACGGCATCTGCATCTGTAGGAACTAGAAATAGACGTCGTGTCTCGCTTTGTAAAGTATCGCAGACACATAATCTCCCGGCCAACGCACGTCCCACGGATCTCGCACACCGTCGCCGTCGCCGTCCGCTGTCCCACGCCATCGATTATGTTGGTAAACGTTGCTGCATTGTAATCCAAATTAATATTCACGACGAGGATTACGACGGGACATCGTACCGGTTCAATCACCACGCGACGGTCCCGATCGATCGATTATAACGAGCAAATTTTGGCTGAAAATTGATAACGCCGCTGTCAATGAAAATTACCTCGATCGTTCTCCTCTCATTGCGTCAATACTGTGTAACTTGATAATAAGAATAACGGCTCTTATCCGCGACAGGCGTTCCGCGAGAAATTGAGAAAAAATGTTAAAATGTCGGCGTTGGTCATTAATGAACGTTGATTTATCGTAATGAGCACTCGTATGAGATTTGTATAACAATTTCAACAATGTCAATTATTTCATTGCAGCAAATGCACACAATGTTGATTGAAACAAATGTAGTTCTGTGAAAATTACTTTAACATATATACACACACATGTGTATCTCGATAGATATCTCAATTATGTATAATATTTACGTACGTGCCCCAAGTAAAAAATTAATTAAGTATCGATGAATAATAATATTGATATCTTTAAGATATTTTTCAATTATTCATAGAATTATTCACACTATTAAATATAATGCAAGTATGCGATATCTAAATTAGAACCCTTTCCACGAACTTGTCCCGCAAGATAAGTAGCGACACTTACCATAATCAGCTAATCTGCTATTTTATAATAAATTAAAAGCTATCTGGCTAGATTAATTTCTCAAGCGCAATAATTAATAAACTTGCAATCACGACAATATTCGTGAAAAAAAGAAACCAAAATTTGACCAAAAAAATATCTTTTTAAAATTTGATTTGACCAAAAAAATATCTTTTTAAAGTTTGACACAAATTATGCAAAATATATTTTAGACAAGTTAATTCATTATGTATTCGCGATTTTACTGTATAGCCAAAAGTGATTTTAATAATATATGATATAGAAATAAATGATAATGGGATAGCAATTAATCGAACAAAACGTAACATACCGCGCCGCGATTGATAATTGACCTTCGCGTCCCGGCGCATTCAAAATCTATTTCCGAATGTGAAAGCAACATGTGGGCCCAGGCCGATAGTTCCACATTGATGAATCCAATCACTAATGTAATATCTTTCGACCCATCGTGTATATTGATTGTGCGTCGCGGACGTGCACGGAACACATATCACCGCTGGACAATAAGCTGTTTCAGGAGGCATTTCAATCGAGTTTAAAATACATATTTAAATAATCGTACGTGAATAAATCTCCAAGATTAATTCGATGTCAGACGTGATCAATATCTTAAGTCTCTTGTACTTTGAATAGAGAACAGTACATCTCTTAATATATCGCGGAGCATCCCCTTTAATACTCGGGCAATCAATGTTCTCCGATATAATATTTCTGTGATTTCAATACCAGGAAAAAATTTATCTATATAATTGCATTGATCCTGATATTACTCTTAATTTATCAGATTTAATTCTAATTTTCATAAGTGCCTTTTAGTCTCTCATTCGGATAATATAACGTATTCGAAACTCATATCATTTCTGATCACGTATGTAAAATTCTCCTCTCGGAATACTCGTCTCGCTCGACCTTTAGTTTCTCTCTACTCGCTTGATAAGGGTCATTCATGATGGAAACTGTAGAAGGGTACTCCACTTGGTATCAAAATGCACTCTCGTAGAAAGATATTAGTGAAATCCAACGGATTAAGACGAGATCGGATTAAACGGAGATGTCCTCAGTAGGAGGATAAGAGTTTCTGCGATCCTTCTCTATTTACGACAGTCGACTAATGTATTAGCGGTATTGTATACCAGGTGTCCCTGACCGATATCAAGCGTTCCTTCTTGTTGTTGCGACTTTGCGAGTGGAAAGAGAACTCGAAAACTTCCGATGTACTGATGGCGATATGAAAGTTTCCTCGACAAAATCTCCGATATACGGCAACTAAATGGGGCGAGAATTTCGCGACCCGACGTAAAAATTATCGACTCGCAAATATTCGATATTTGCTTTCGCAAAACCATTTTACGTGCAATTTCCGAGGTAATATAAAATAGAGATGATTCGATTCGCTCTCTCTTTCTCTCTTTTCTCCGTGCGTTCGAGAAAGATGATTCGTCGGTCGATTCACAAGCGCCAGCAATTTGCTTCGATAGAACGCCGGGGCTCTATCGGGAGAAAAAAAAATATATAATGCCTGAAGGAAGAGTTCGAGAAAGGATCGCTTTGATCGGAATGCCACACTTAATTCGATTTCAGAGCCGCGTATATTCGACGGCGGCTCGAACAAGACGGCCGGCGTCGGCATTTCAAAGTTGCCGACTTCTCGTGAGAGGAACTCTCGGCCTCCCGCGTCCTCCGGGCGACTTTGAACTCCCTCACCTACCTCTCACGTGTCTCAGAACTTGCCGCTAGCTGAAGTCAGCAAATGGAACGATATTTCGCCGAACAATATATTGGAATAAAGTCCGAACTGTGTTCACGGACTATGTATTGTCCACGCAGCGTTAATATTGCACGATGACGATATAGCAGAAATACTTAGAAATGTTCGCACGATACACAAACGGAGAAGAATAACTTCTTCCATTGAATAACGGACATTAATCTCGTGAATGCGAACATCAATCTCACGGAATTTTCCGAGCGTTTGTTGCCGGAGGTAATAAAAAGAGCATTTTATTTTTTACTTCGGTCTTCGAGATGCTTCGCGAAAACATTAGCAGGCTTTATTCTTGGCGTAGATTTTAAAAGTTTCTCTTTCTCGTAAGAGAGAGCTAGAGCAACAATTATAAACTTCATTTAACAATTTTTAACTTTGTAGTGTGTTTTTATGTTTTTAAATAAGAAGATTTATTATTTTGCCCGAATAATTATTTTGCGATGAAAAAATTAAGATTCATAATATTTAACGCAGATTTTCCAATTTCAAATGTAGAAATGATACTTTGCTTGTACTTTACATTTATTATACGATATCTCTATTAAACGTAAAAATAATTTGCCACGTGTCGAATATGTATCATTCAAGACGATTCGTTTATTACGATATTTATTCGGCATATTTACAATATTTTTGCAATATTTTTGAACATTCGATCAATTCCGCATACACGGTCGCTTGAAACGTGGGCGATAGAATCATAAAGAAAGCTTTTCAGTCCGTGCGGATAGAAAATGCGCGAACGTAGGCAACGCAATCAATCAGATCGCCCCGAATAGATTCACTTTGAAACTGCCAGATAACGAACCGCGCCGCGAACAGCGGGTTAAATTTAAGTCAATTCACATGAGGGTAAGAGTTTATGGAGCGAGAGCCAATTACAACGCAATCTCGCAAAAGAGGATTCAATAACGAGCGAAAGGAGAAGGAGGAAGGTCAGCATTCCTATCGCATTCAAACAAATCACATTGTCCTTCTTTCTCTTTCTCTCTCTAATTTTCTCCCTCTGTTTCTTTTCCTCCCTTCGTGTCCGATATCTATCGAACGTTTACCGTGTCGGAAATTTCAGTATTGGCGATTCTCGAATGAGATTCGTTGGACGAGAAATGCGGCGCGACATCCGATAAACTAAAGAGCTCGTGAGTGCACCTTTAGTACTAAACCCTATCGATCGTTGGGGGTCACTATGAACGTGACGCCTTGGCTTTTGAGTTTCAAAGGTAGTCAAGCTACCGAGCTGCGGTAAGATGGGGTGAAATTGCTCCGAATAGGGTTAACGTTGCATCGTCGTCGTTGGTGTATTAGCGTCGCTCCGGCGAAAAGGCCGTAAAACCGGCGAGCTTGATATTTGAGAAAAAGAGAGAATAATCAATGGAAACGACGAGAACCCGCTGACATAACAAATAAACCTTCGCTCGATTATTTTCTCAGAAGCTACATACTTCATTTATCGCTAAATGCGATCGTCTACTACCGGATTTTATTTTTAGAAAAGACTGCGTATATAATGTATCCATTAGCGTTAATAGCAAGCGAATTGAAGCTTGTTATTTCCTTGTTTATTTATAGACAAGGTAATAAAAAAGAATCTACGTATATTAACAATTTGAAATATCAACTAAATTTCCGATTATGATTAAAATTTTAATTATTATTTGTATACAAAGGATCGAGAAAATACGTTCCGTTTTTGCTCTCTCTCCAAAGGATATTATAGATCTCCTTTACCAAATAAAACATATAAAATTGAATCTATTATTATCACACGCGCCCCGAATTTTGCGCGACTCCCACGTGTATGGCAGAGATACGCGGCGCGGATTCTAGTTTTAATAATCCTCCTCTTACCCTCGCACACGAACTTAACCAAGCGTTGAAGTAAACTCGAGCAAAGCTTATGTTAACGCCTTCGGCGATAACAAAGGGATTTTTTCACATGCGCGGCAGTACCGCGACGCGATATCTCCTGCTCAGGACTCAGGATGGGCGCGCAAATCGGGACTGACCGCCCTTCATGTCTTACGTGACGTCATACGTGTGCAACGTATTTGACGTCACATCATAGTCTTTAATTCCGCGTCTCGTGCACAAGGCAACTACGCCGAATGTATAAAGCGGTTTATATAAATGGCGGCCGTTGATATTTCGCGGTCGTATATGAAAATTGCCGGTCGGATGATTTAATAGCGTGTAGAATAATCTCGACTTGACTGTAATATAACTATATCACACAAGAGCCACGTGATCGAACCCTTGTTATAACAAATGCCGCGATCATCATCGCCAGCGACCGCGAGATCATCGATATTAACGATTGTTCAATGTACTCTGCTGGATTTTACAGTACTGCTTATGAATACTTATGAATACGAAATGCTATTTGTTGAATGACGTTATCCGTACGAAAAGAGGATATAATGGAAAATGAAAATCCGGATAGAACAACAGTACGTCAGAGTAAATATTTTATTGTTCATCCCGAACGATTTTTTGATTATGCATTAACCCTTTTAAGTGTTAGACCGTATTGCAGTTCCGAGTTTATTTTTCTTGAATCCTGGATTATTCTCGTTTTCTATATCTTGCTATATTGCCGAAATATTTTCAACTTTATCGCATGAATTACTTTTGAATTCAGAAATAAAAAAAAAATTCAGTAACATTCGACAATATAAAAAATTATTAAATTAAGGCATTTATTTCTGAAAAGATTTCGATGGGGTCTTGTGATCTGGATTCAAATACATATTGGTAGAGATTTTGATTTTAAAGTGCTCGTATAAATGTTACTACTTTTAATTTTATCGATGCAATTATCGTGAATAAAATCAGCTTTTTTTGAATTATTAGAGTTAAATATAACATATTCGGATACTTGTGCTTATTCTAATATTAATTGCCAATTAGTTCGCGCGTTGACGCAATATAAGGTTAGAAATGTTCTCTATAGATAACTAGGAGCTAGTTAAATAATTACATGTCCATGGCAGAAAACGATGGGAATTGGTATTGTTAAATTTCTCTCATTTCCTCGGCACAGTCCAGCGTGAAATGCGCGAGGTGTTTCCTACAGAGCAACGACAGAATAGCTATTAAAGACAATTCGTTCGGCCTTCCAACTCTCGTGCCGACGTCCCTTTTGCCTCGTTAACTTCCATTCTTTTGTTCAATGAACAGGCTCCCTGCGCTTGACAGACATTTAGTGTCGCCAATTATGGGCAAAGCGCGCTACTCTGTATACCACGTTACGTAAGTGCACCTGTGCACCGATAATAGACAGAGATGATGATGCGTGGCAACGCGGGACGAAAGGAGATAACTCGTCGAGAAGATGTGCGTGTAATAAATTTTCCGAATCGAAGCTTTCATGGGAATAAAAATCTTTCACCCCTTTCGAATTTCCCCAAAATTAACTCGGGAAGTTATCTCGCCCACACCCTTAGCGCTGATAACGAGTCGTTTCTATCTTATCGCAAAATGAAGCTTGAAGAGAAGTCTTTTATGAGACGACGTCCTTCATTCCAGATCGAATTTTTCCTTGTGAAAATCTGTTTTGCTACGAAGATACGCGCCGGCGTCAAAGGACATGCAATTACGGGACTGTGGACTTTTCCCTTCCGGACTTAATTAAATACCTCGGATGCCGACCGACCGTCGCAAATATTTCCAGAGGATCGGTCATCTCGGCCGACATGCTTGAATCCTACCCCTTTTCCGTTTTTCTATTTCTTTTCTGTTTTTAATCGTCTTCTCAAAGGATTTACGGTACAAACGAGTGTTACGATTTAACCCCCGGGCAATCATATTACTCTTCCAACTTCCATCCATTTCATGCATAACAATCCAGAATTTCGAGGAATTACGATTAAGCGGAAGGAGGAGTATAGATAGCGGATGAAAATTTATGGTCAAAGATTATAGATCGCATGATATGCCATTTTACATCAATATTTATTTTGTATAATATATCACCGCGTTATATGCGTATAGAATCTGTATAAATAATATCGTCGTATTTTCCATCCAATGTTTGTATTCGACGCACAAACGGAAAAATTATATATATCGTCAATTTTATTATATAATGCAAATTACGCAAGTTCTTACTTGAATTATTTAATACTCGTTAAACATTCATTAATGTCGTAACACAAATTTTGTCATCATTATCGTTACGTTTTTTTATTATTAATATCATTTAGCATTAATAATAAATATACAAGAGATGCTATCTAACAAATCTCCCTCTATATTCTCGCGGTTCTAATTTTATCGCAAACATAGCCTGATTCATCCAAACATTTAATAGTGTCGTTTCGACTAACAAAATTGAATCTTGTTAGTCGAGATATTTGTATCGGATATTAAGCGAAGTCTTTTTAAATATGTTTACGGTGCATAAGTATTAATAGCCGAAATAATTCAGAATATAGATTCGAAAGCTCATTTCAAAGCAAATTTGTAACAAATCATATTACAAAAGCAATCGATGAAAATGTCGTTACAGAAAGATCCCGTCGCAAAAATATCTTGGCCATCATTACCTTTATTTCAACATAAAATGAGTATCATATTTTATCACTGTGATTCAATCGTTTCATGTAACAAATAGCGCAGTATTTCATAAGTAAATTTTTAACTGAAATAACGGAATTATATTCACACAGGACGGAATTTAATTATTACGTGACAATAAAATGATGGAAAATTCGAGCGTTTTGATATTGTAAATACGGCAAAGCGTTCTTTTGATCGTACAACATGGCATCATGCGAATAAATCAAACAAGAAAATATCCATCTTAAAACATATTATTTAGTATAACAAAACAAAACGGCAAACAAAATTTATTTCCGTTGATATTATATATTTGTTATTCTTTAATTTATTATATGTTAAAATCCATATTCCATTTATTTTGCTCATAATTTAATTATAACAGTGCACAATTTAAAATTATTGGATAACATATTGATAATATTTTAAACTTTTGATTAAAATTTTATTAATTCTCGCGTGTACTTCTGTCTAAGCTTAGATTTGATTTTGCTGATGAAAACTATGCTTTTTGTTCGTATCGATCAAAAGTATCTCTAAGGAAGATGAGAGAACTTGGAAAGGCCACTGCTCTTCCTCTCGACTTGTTCTATTCTCCTAACTACGAAGTAAGCGAAGCGATTCATTTAGGGCGTAACGGCAGAAGGCCGAAATTAACCGTGGGCAATTATTCGCTGCAAATGCACAGCTATATAAACCTGTCGAGGCTTGTAATTGTCAATTAGACCGACTGTCAAGATTTCATCGATTCGTCGATAATCCCGGTATCTGACTAGTATTACTGGTAAAATGCGACGATTGAGCAAATAGCTCCCCAAAGAAGCGTCGTATTTTGGAGAAATACGAGAGAAATCTCTCCCCCTTAAAATTAATAAAATTGTTCAGTTAATAAGCTCTCCGACAAAGGATTTTCTCTCGTAAAATAAAGTAAAGATTTTCTCTCGTAAAATAAAGTAAGGATTTTTAATAGTAAAATGAAGTAAAAACTAAATATACTTTTTTGGAATAAGATTGGAATAAGATTGGAATAAGAACTTTATATTTTAAAGCAATTTTATTAATATTGCTTTTTAATTTTTATTTTACCGGTCTGCTTGTAATAATTATCTGGCGTATTTTATATATTTATTTTCTATTACATTACCATCTGATGAGATTTTTTAATATTCTTTTTATCTCATTACTCGAAATATTAATTCTGATATATAATTCTCCTTGTAGCATACACTTCGTGATTATCAACTTAAGCAACCATGCACATGTTAGTTTCTCAAATGCATTTATATAATTACTGCATTAATTTACATGTAGTGACTTAGAAGAGATAAACCACGGTCTTACCAACGTAATTTATTATTTAAATAAACTTGTACATAAGTCTACTCTTTGATACTTCAGTTTCTACTCGTCGCGTTTAATTTTTCGCTTTATAAAACTTGAAGTCATCAGTATAATAGCAGAACTCGCGAATAAAACGAATATAAATAATTTCGTCTCTATAAAAACTCAAGTAATTATTATATAAATAATAAAGAAGACTTTGCGGAGATGGAAGCTCATGATACAATTTTTCCAATATATCGCAGAGAAATAATAATACATAGCTAGCAAATTTATTGTTAAAAGTCTATGCTTGAACGGAAGCGTTTTCCGCGAACAGAATGATTCCGAAAACAAAAATTTTTTATATGAAATTTTACACATGGGTTGTTTTTTATATTTTGATATAAATTGCTACCATATATAATATTGCGTTCAAAAATGCAATGGAATAAAATGGTTAATTGTTTAATTAATTGACTGTAGGATAATTCCGGGATATAACGATATAATTGACTCTACTTACGGAAGTTTCACATCTTATAGTACAAACTATGTACATAAGTTATGATTATGTATCTCGAGGGTTCCTGCTATAAAATATGATACGGGTAATATCGTAAATATATGTCGTCGTTATCCCGGACTGATCCCACAGCCAATTAGAGCACAGAAAATTATCGACGCAATATAAAATTTCGAGAGTCTCTCTCGAAGCTGTCAAAAATCTTTCTATCCCGTATAGACGTCCCGTGAAGCCGCGGCAAGTTCAAAAAACTACAGATGTTACGTGATCGAAAATGAGACATGAATAAACAATCGACGTGCGGCGAGCGAGTAAGCAACGGAATCCCACTTACCGGGGAGATTGTCGGCTGCCGAGCGATGTTAATCTCGGGGAGGGAGAAGGGTTTGTTAACGCGACCGCATTCACGGTTCGACTGCCGATCCACTCGCTAGTGATGTACTATCACTATCCCAGTTGTTGCTCTTCGTTAATCCCACGGTGGGCGCACTACACGAACTACTCGACGTTATCAGGATTGCTCGGTGTAACGACCTCGCTTCACTTACGTATGATAGTCACCCTTACACATCGGTCTTTCGCGATCGTTTTCCTCGATCGTCGATTCGCTAGGGGTTCTGTTCGCTCCGGGATTGCGATCTTCACCTATCCGAGATCATCGGCCAGAATCGTTGATGTATATATGTGATGTCGATGGGTCTCTCTCTGTGAGCGATCGTGCCGGCGATTCTTATCAAGGTAGAGCAAGGACGACGACAACGGCTACGATAACCCAGTCGCGACGGTGGTCAGAGCGGCACTACGAGGCTCGCGAACGACCCGGCGCCCCTCTCGCCATCGACCCAGGTTCGCTCGACCAATCGACGCGTATACCTTCTCGTTGCTTATGTACATTCCGCTGGATCCTAGGGGGTGGCTCGACTCGCGCAAAGGGGTGGCAAACAGCGGAGCGGATGCGACGGGAACGACGACGGTGGCGAAGGGACCGTTTCACGTGTTGCTTCGATGTAAACACTGACATCCCGAAGCATAATTTAATGATGCCAAGCCAGCCTCGAGGCAATCGTTGCAACGTTCATACGAGGAAAGCTGATTGCGCAATCGACGCGATGAAGCTATCTCGAGGAAATAACGTCGACTAACTCCTACAATATCTCGAAATTTGTAAAAAATCAAAGATTTATCTCTAGCGTATTTACTGATCCTATTTTGAATGTAAACAAAAATTTTTAAATATTAAAAGATACTGATAAACTTAATGTATGTGCAAATTTTTTTTAGCTTTAGAATTGTATGCTTAAGTTAAAAAGTCGACCGTAGAATTGAATACCATCGTTGAAATATTGTCTATATTTTATAATACAGTATGTGTGCGTTTTGTAATATAATATTCTCCTAGCATGCATTATATTATTATATAGCGAGTTGATGACATTATAATGCTGTTATCGAATTTTGTAATGTGATGCTCTTATACCTCACGTTATGATATTATAAGTTTATCGTTAGATTAAAGAATGCGAGAAGTAACTTTATGTAGCAAAGTCAAGAAAGATTTTATCTTTCTGTATTGAAATTTGAAAATAATCATTCGAGTAAGAAAAACATCGAAACTAAAGATGATGAATTTAAAAAAAAATCTCACATATCCAAATATTTTCATCTAAATATTATTCTAAATTTTATTTAACAACGTCACGAATAGCGACATAATATTTCTCATTGCAATACAAATACCTTGTTATATTAATCAGAATTTTACCAGATTGTTAGATTATCGCAAAACTGTGGCATAAATTCAGCTTGACCAGAACTCACAAAAGTACTACGCTGGCGACGAAACACTATTTCATCAGGTGCACGTGTGGATTCATTATAAATTATTTTGAGAAATACATTTTCAAACAATATTTAATTACTTATCTATTTAAGGATATAAAAATTGTCAAAAAGTCACGTTAACGTAATGATGAAATATCCAAGTCATTCAAGTCGAAATTTTAAAGAGACATTTACAAATTTTTTCGAATACAAAGATTCTCTCAATTTTTTTTTTTTTATATTTTAACATCTATTTTTCAATTACGCTAATTGACAATCATAAAATGTCACAGTCATGAAGGTCGAAGAGAATTTTTATCAGAAATGCAATACTTCCACTTTAATTTAAACTGTCACAGAACTCTTTCGGAAAAGACATATGATGTAATAGATTTTACACGTCTCGTAAAATTATAAATAGCACTTGAATGTGTCGGTGACAAAGAGATGAAATGCAAAGTGCAAAGAGCTCACTGTTTATTTATCTAACTCTCTCTCTCTCTATATATATATATCGACCCGACAAGTGCTTTTACCGCAGTTATAGAATCTCCTACATACGCGATATTTGTTACCGACAATACAGCGCGTGGAGGCAATCGAAACTTTACACGATTGTCAAATGACAATGGCATCGCGTTTTGTTAAATAGAGAAACAATCCAGATGAAAACGAAGCGCTTAAAAGGGAACAACATCGCTTTAGATAGATTTGTGAGGTTTAAAGCGTATTATGCGTTCCCCGAGATCCCTGACTGATGCGCGAGCTACGTCGTTTATTGCATCTTACCGCAATTAATTCTAATATCCATTACAAGACAATGATTATCAACGACTTTACTCGAGCTTACGCGATGCTATCTCGTACAAGAAAAGGTTTACATTTATAATTAAGAAAACATGTCTTTTACTGAAAGTAAGATTAAGGCTATCCAGCGTTGAAGAAAGTACTTGTTGATGAAACTCGTTTCGAGAAGATGTAAACACGATACAGAAGAGACTTCATTATTTGATTAATATAAAAAAGATTTTATCTAATATATCATACATTTTCAATAATATCTTTCAGATATTTAATGTTAATAATTCCAAGATTGCGGCGACGTTAATTCCTTTAATTTTTCCAAAAAAAAAAAATATATATATATATATATACCACCGTTTTTAAGATGTCTCGTATACGCCAGAGATATTTTCCCTCCAATTTGATATAACAAGCTAAAATGCGCGCGCGAAATTCATACCATAAATAATTTTCGTCGTTCGGGAGTTACATTTGCTCCGCGAGACGGCACATAAAATGATATCGGAGCTACAAACTTATCGCCCAACATTTCTCTTCGCAGCATCGTCTAAGTAGCGTGGTATCTTGTGTATCTCGCGGGACACTTGCAATTTATCGCGGATAGTTCATCTGATATATCAAAGCTTGTCCGCGCGCCAACTTTACTCCCCCGTAGATCAGCTGATCGTACGTCGCAGACAGCTCGACCCTCCGCCAGGTATTTCTTATCTTCTATCGGACAGATTTTATTATTTACTCGCGCTTTATTTTTATCTCGCAACACGCAATGGATCCACGGGATAACGCGCGCGACAAGATGGATTATATTCCCACGTGAAATTCATCCGTTGACATTAAGCTCTCGCTTAACTTGTCTACGTCGGTCGTATTCAACGACACAGAGTGTGTCATCGATATTTATAAACCGTTGTTGACATTCGTTCTGCAAATATCAAAATTTGATATTTCGGGGATGACGGATGCAGTTCGCGTACTCGCGTCATGCGAATACACGATGTTACACATGTGTCTCTGATATTTTACCTGACAGAACTTATTATACACTTTAAATGGAAAGGATTAAAATCTAAAAGGAACATTTTATTTCATGATCTTTGTATATGTATAATGTTAAAATTAAATGGTCTATACGTTAAAATAACACAAACAAAGATTTTATCTCATTGTCAATTGCAAGTATTGTAAAAAAAAAATAATTGCAGAGAAAACTATTATAAATACATGACTTAAATTTATAATTATACATATTTAAACTGTTCTTACATTATTTATAAAATAAATAATAACAATTTACAAATGTTAAAACAAAACAGAAACTAAAAAGAGTGTTTAAAATTAGTTCTAAAAATATCGGTTTCGTTCAAACTCTCAATCAGTATCGTTTTTATTTCTACGCTATTAAATCTAAGTATTACCTAGTATTATCTAGTATTATTGTCATTACATATTTGTTTTGCCTTTAGTTTCGGTTTCCTTGTAACGTTAATGCCGGCTCAATGTTTGCTCTCTATATATCCTCTCAAGAGAGGTTCGTTCACCAGTAAAAGTCATAACAGTCGCTGTCTGGGAAACCTGAAATCGATTCCCCTGCGGGTATTCACCCCTGCAATGTGCAGGTGCAATAGACTGTAGTGAGCACATCGTCTGAAATTATTGGACGTTATATCTCAAAGAAAGCGCCTTTTTTTTAACACGCAATAACGAATAATTTTGTATTAATATTTATCATGTGTTGAGTGATTGTTAATTAAAATCATCGTCGATTCACGTCTTTGAAATTTGCTGCAGCAAAAATATTCCATTATGTTTCAGTTTTATAAATGCCTATAAAAAATATATGCCTAATAATAAGTTTTATAATAATCAATCTTTTTAATAATTCACGATAAGAATCTTGCATTTGATTTATTTATCGTTAGTTTAAAGTATGTTGTATAATCTGTATATGTATATAGAGTAAACTCTGAGACCTATTATAATGTTACGTAAGAAATTAAAATATATTCTAAAAGAATTGCTTGATAAGTAGAAGTTATAACTTTTCAGAAAGCTAAGAATTACATGTATTTATATTTTAAAAATTAAAATATCTTTTTCTCATACATTTACATAACAGCTGTTACATTATTGTTACATAATATAATCTATTCACATTTCGTAATACTATTATGTTCTTAATATGATGTTCTTCCAGCACATGTTAGACATTACGTAGCAAACTATATATGTTAATATATGAGAAGATGATGATAGACAACTATATACGTGCATGAGAAGTTACTCTGACAGAATAAAGAGAAGATTTCACGATTACCTTGCGTTAAAGAAATTAATCATTGAATACAGAAGATGTCGATATCTCAAAATTGGAGCTGATAAATTAAAAGAGATATCATAATGATCTGTATTTGTATGAATAGTTTGTATGAATAGTCCGTAGTTTTATTCACTGCTTTCATAGACCGCAAAAACGTATTCGTTACTGTAGCACCTAGTTGGGGGTCAATCAAAACTTTGCAAAATTGTTGGATCGTTGCAAGACGACAACGCTAAGTGAGATCAATTTAATATGGTTAGAATTCCCAGAGAAATTAAAGCGACGAAACGCTATCTCTCATCATGTGTGAATTCATTATAAACTTTTGGGAGAAATTCGCTTTCAAATAAAATTTAAATATTTACTTATATAAGAGCATTTTTATACATAAAAATGTCAAAAAATATAGAGGTATTAACACATAAAAATCACCCGGTTGTGGCTCACAATTGTAAAAATGTTCCAAAAAATATTTTAAAAAGTATTCCATAAAGATATTCCAAAGAAATATTCCTCTATAATTAAAGATTAAGGTGTTAAATGATGAAAAGTGCAAGTCTTGACACTTCTCACTAACACAAAAAAGGGCTTTCGGCGATTCTAGAATATAACATCAAGTAAAAAACGAATAGAGATGAGGGAAGCATTTTCAGGAAGCAAAGATCATCGTAAATGATGAGAAACGTTTTTTGGAGATCATTATCGCTGATTATCAAATTTCTAATTAGCCGTTTCGCGTAAATGTCTAATGAAATCGTATAAAATGATATCAAGTTGTGTTAAAACGAGAAGCTGCAATATACTTTACTTTTTTATCACTTCTATTCACACTAGATGTCACTATCTTGCACTCATAGTGGCAGATACGCACATATATCATCGAAGCATACATGTGCTTAAAAAATATTATATACTACTGCATAATATATATTATATATCAAGTTACATAAACGTACATTCAAACTAATTTTACATTTAAACGAGAAAATAAAATAAACGAAGTGTTATCATTCTCTCTTTGCTTGTATATTTATATTATGAAAAAGTTGAGTTTTTTCATTATATAAAAAATTAGCGTTAATAATACACAAAAAGTTTATTAAAAATATGTTTAAAACTTTTCAAAATCTCTCTCGTGTATCGGATCCCAAAAACTCCGCCGTAAGTATAAAGGTCCTCAAACGCCAATCTTTATCGATCGTGGACTTTTAATTAACGAAAGGCGTTATCCTCCGCGATTATCATTGTTAACAATTAATCCTCCATGAAGGGTATTATTATACGTTAACGACAATAGGACGTTATTTTGTAATTAGAAAGGCTTTAAAATTAATTGGACATCGTGCGCAAATGATAACGGATGATAAAGGGGAGGATACACCGTTCAAGCCGCGTTCAGGTGTTCGTTTCAGGTTCGCCCCGACAACGATCGACAGCGTCGCTCACGCAACAACTGTGACGTCGAGTGGTCGTGATCGCAGGGACAAATCCCTTCGCTGGCCGCGAATATTGATTTTCGACTTTCGAGGTTTCTAGAACAAGTCAGCCTTGACGCAAGCGCCCCTGCCAATGCAGCATGGCGTCGGAATCAAGCATTGTTCGCCTGGACCAACGTTAGGATTTTCCGCAATTCTCGGCATAAAGCCAATTCCCGAGAATAGCTGCGCGAAAATGTGATCTACTCGCCCATCGGATCGTCACCGCGATTAGTTTCGCGACGTACATGAAGCAAGGACCAGGTCCAACGAGATGACCGCGGATGTACGCTTCGCTGTCACGTGCTTTCTGCTTATCGCGTTGATAACCCTCACGAGTGGTAAGTGTAAATTATCCCGAATATATATTTATCGGTCAGACGTTAGTTATGCGATTGTCGCTGAAAGCCACGGTTGTTTTTAGAAATATATTGAATTAAATTTACATAGTGAAATTTATTTTGGTTTAATTAAAATTGACAGAAAATCTAGTATGCGAATCTGAGAAGATACTTTTAGCACACAAGTTACAATTTTAGGATTATCTTTAATATAATTCTATTCATAAAAAGCTGCTTGCAATATTTATAATTTTATTAGAAAAGAAATCTTTTTTACTTTTTTTTGTAATCAAAAAATTTATATTATATTACATAATACTTTACGCCCGATCTCAATTATAATAAATGAGAATTTTCAAAGTCGAATCAATCTAATAGATGCTAATGTTGCATTTCTAATATATTATCTTTATTCGAATCAAGTATTTTATATTTTTAATACGAACTAGTAATAAGATAAAATTATAATTTTATTCGCTCTTTCCTAAATAACTATAAAATATATTAATATATATAAATGAGAGAGAATTTCTCTCGGATAATTACAATAAACTTACGAATTCGCGTAATCGATAATCCATACCATGGGCATACAAGGTTTACAGCATGAAGTGAGAGTTGATAGGCATCTGAAAGAGATAATAAATCATTCATTTATTATATAATTTAATATATTTTACGTTATAGTTTAAATTTATATTTCAACATGCTATTTTTAAAATCAAGAGCATTTTATTGATAGCATTTCTGCGGAAGCAAATCTAGCTCGTTCGCTTAAATTTCGACATAAATGCATAACAACATAAGTGCTTTTCTATATATATATAATATGCGATGTATTTATGATGAAAGCAGGTCAGCTATCGATGAAAGAGCATCGAACTCAGGCGGCTTCCGAAAAAGCTAACGATCTATGGTGCTACCAGTGCTTTACTATGGACAGCGATGAGAAGTGTATCAATCTCACTGACAATACCGGCAATTCTAGCACTTTCAGGCATAAATGTCTGGATGACAAAAGAATGTGCATGGTGAGGCTGCGTAATACGTTTTGTAGTTTTGTTTTAATTTTTATGTAATATGTTTAGCGCTAAATGTGGCAGTACGATCCTCGCGTCGCGTTTATATTAAAATTGATCGTTATACGTTAACATATTAACATATGTAAACTGTATATTGCACGAAATATAATATTGCATAGAAACGTGACACGCGAACCAAAGTGCTACGAGTATGTATAAACCAGATTGTAACGAACGGATGACGTGGCAAATTCATCCGCGTGCATTTAATATGAACCTGTCAAAACAATTTATATCATGTTACTTGTTTATCTAGACGAATTAATATCTATTTGTTTACACACATCACGTTCATAAGCGCTCATCTATCGTGTGGAAATTATTACATACATGAGATACTCGAATAACGGTTATCTATTTATCACTTACGGTAATCTCGTCGAAATGTCAGATAATATATTTTAAATAGGATTTAATATCCGCAATTTTTGTTGTTAACACAATAAAAAAACAAATGTGACGTGTAAAAAAAAAAGGAAATTATATTAGGGAAAG